GTTACAGAAAAGCAAACACGGCACCTTATGCCCCTTGGTTTACATGAGAGTTGATGGTGATTAAATGAGTGTGATGGAGACGAAAGTGGCAATGGCAGAATAGATCCAACCAAACACTGGACAAAACTCACTGGAAGATCTAATCAACACTGAAGAAGTTATTCCTCCTCGCCACTATTACATACGGACAGAGCCATCCAGTGGACCTGACCCAATCTTGCCACAAGAATGGAATGGAGACCTCTGAACAACCTGTTGTGAGGAATTTGCAGACAAAATCTCTCAATTCCACTGTAACTGCAGTTGATGAAGGTCCTGTGGATGTAACTTTGCCCCCCCTTTTATCCTTTTGTAATGGATACATTTCAGTTTATGCAGCCCAAAGACATGGATAGAATTCTTGGAGAGGTGATAAACACCATGTCTTTTCTGACCCTTGCCTTTCCTGGCTTGTTGAAGTAGCCAATGCGGACTGGGCAAGGGGTCAAGGGGAATGGTGAGTGAATGCCCCCTTGCAGCAAGGCAGGGTTCAAACATGGCCAAAGAAAGCAGTTGTAAGATTGCTGTTAAACCCCATTGTGCTAGACCACTGGTTCTTAACCTTGGGTTACTCAGAAGTTTTGGACTGCAACTCCCAGAAGCCTTCACCACCAGCTGTCCTGACTGGGGTTTCTGGGAGTTGCAGTTCAAAAGCATCTGAGTAACAAAGGTTAAGAACCACTGTGCTAGACAAACATTGATCAATTTTTGGCAAGTATGGGAGCATGTGGTAGCTTCTCAGTCCTAGGTATTCCTGGATGACACAGATCATTTAGATACATTTCCGTCTAGCTTCAAGCCTAACTAAGGGATGGAAGCGGCTTTAGTCCCCTTCATGGAAGGCATACACCACAAACTGGACAGGGGAAACGTGTCTCTGTTCTGCTGGACCCCTAGCTGTTTTCTATACCATCAACTAGGTTATCCTAGGCTGTCACTCTAAGAAGGAATCTGGAGACACTGTATTATAATGCCTCCAGTCTTTCCTGGAGAGGCAAGTTCAGGATGTGGTGTTGGAGTCTCTGTTGGCCTGTGATGTTCCTTAGGGTTCAATTCCCTCCCGATACTCAATATGGGAAATAAAACAGGGAGAAGTATGTTGATGACACCCAGCTCCAATGAAGCTGTTACAGTTTAGACTTCTGTCTGGTATTAGTAATGGCCTAGATGAGGCTGGAAATCCAGACAAGAAAGAGGTGTTCCTGGTCACTCAAAGGGCAGATCAGAGAACAGCCTCTGTTGGATAGGATTCATAATTTGGATTTGCTCCTAGCCTCAGATCTTACCCTAAATGCCCAGGTTTCAGATGTGGACAGCACTGCATTTGTCCTCTTTCTTTGCCAAAAGATCAAGAGGCAACTTGCATACTCAAAGGTAGTGCATAAGTTGCACCCATTCCTTGAGATATCTAATCTGGTTATGATGGCCCATGCCTTATTTACATCCCTTCTACATTACAACAATGCACCATATGTGGAACCACCTTTGAAGACTGTTCAGAAATTTTAGCTGGTTCAAAAGACAACTTAGCTAAGCAGTCAGGTTATCATCAGTTGTCACTGTTTTTCTCCTCTCATGTCTGGGGAACTGCTCTTCACATTTTGAGTCTCTTCCAATCTGCCTCTACTGAACACTAACATGCAAAGTCAGCTATAAAGTTGTATATGAATCTAGCCAAGGCTTTCCACTAAACTTCACTAAGGCAATATATTATTTAAAACTTAGATGTGCTCTTCAGGTTATACAGATTTAGAATCTAGACAAGAACAAAACCAGATAAAATAGATCAATGAGGATTTTTGGGGTCAGTGGGTGGGAGTTCTGCATCTCTCTGCAGACACATGAACTCAACCAGCTAATCAAGGTATTACCTCAGTCTCCCCAGCCATGGATCACCTATTGGACAGAACTTTAGCTAGAAATGTTACTGTCTGGAGATTTGGTGTCCTGTTGGTTAAGTTTTGTTCTTATTAAACTGGTATATGTGGGGAGAAGATGAAGGAATGATAAGGAATGCCTGGATCCAACAGTGAAATGGCCATATTGATTCTGTTAGTTCACCTGTCCTGTGTTTCCTTCTGTCCAAGGAAGAACAGCAGGAAGTAGTATGGCACTCAGAGCAAGTAGGAAGCATTTACTCTTCCAGCACAAATTTCTACATTCACTAAATGTCAGTGCTGTGTCTCAAAGCCCCAGTTCCCTCACCCTCAGTTATGGTTGTGTTGCTGGAAGTCCTAGGAAAGATGTTCTCTTTACCTTTTGGGCAAAAATGACAATAGGTGACACCAGATTTCACTAATCAATGTTTTGAGATGAATCTAGAATTCCTGCTTGTGGGTGGGTGGGGGAAGGAAGTGTTCCAAAGGAAGGAGAAAGTGTTTCAAAAAAAAAAAAAACGCCCTACTGAACAAGACACTCATGGGGATTTGCACAAGCCAGATAAGGAACAATAATATAGGATTCTGGAGATAGACAAATCAGTAGCATAGAAACACAGTTGCTATGACTAATGAGGAAGTGTCAGTTCTATATGGCTCTTGGACTTATTCCAGTTTGTAAGAGCCTAAAGTCTGGTGATATTGTAACCTGCCAATAATACGCAGAGCTACAAATCCACTTACTGTTCTTATAAGGATAGGCAGAAGTTATTTTCTTTCTGAATCATATTTTGGTATTTCAGCACATTCATTCTGCACAGAGAAACAGATTTCTGTAAATCCATAATTTCTTTATAGTGTTGGAAGTGATAAAATCATGATTGCACAAACGACTATGTGAATACAAGAGAGATGCAAATCCTGATCTTGTTCTCCCAAGCAAGAATGAGGGAAAACAAAATGTTTCTTCCTGCCTGAGAGAGCGAGAGATTTTATGTCAGTTTTGACATTTCTGGGGACAATTTTTGCACAAATAAAGTGAACAGCACAGATGCTACAGTAGCTGCTGCCTTGTTGATGGATTTTGGACACAATATGGGAGGAAGAGAAAGCAAAAGACAAAATGTTGTGGCACCCTAAAGACTGATAGGATTCTTTCAGTTTATGGAAAAAAATCTACTTCTAAAATGAATTACAATCCAGGTAAGTTTGGATCAAAATCAAGAGGGAAAAGTTACCTGTGGCTAACTTGAACCCTGCTGATTTCAACAGGAACAGGGCATGACTAATAACCTCTGAGGAACAGTCTGTGCATTTCTGTACAAAAACACATTGGTGCCTTTATTTAAACACAATTTAAGGTCTGTTTTCATTCCCTTCAAAATAAAAGTAAAAGTAAAGGTACAATAGAAAGTTGGCATTCTGAGGGAGGAAATATTTCAAGGCAACATCAAGTCCAGCAGAGATTCAATAGGTACAATTCTCCACAGCCCAGAATAATGAGGTGGGAAGAAGCAGGCAAGCAGTTGGAGATTTGTGTGTGAAAGTTTTTATTGCAACCAGTCAACCAGAAGAATGGGCCAGCTGCTTTTCCTTTTAAAACAATGGCCAACCAAATCCCTTCTGCTTTATCCATTCCTATTTTTAGGAGATCTGAAGATCCCTTTTAAAATACTGTTAGCGTGTGTACTCATGCAGTAAATTCATATCTACCATGGTTCATACATGTCAGGTAGAAACTGTTGGTATGTCTAAATTCCAGTTTGCCTACAAAAAACCTGATTTCACAGTGAAATTAACTGTTCTGTTAACTCCACCTCAAAAGAAATCTCAGTGTAGGAATAAGAATACACCAAGTAAACAAACACATGCTCCCCCCAACTTTATCTCTGTAAAATAGCTGAGGTTCATCTATATTATGGCTATGGAGCCTAGTGGATACTAGCAATAACAAGCCTGGTCATATCAGAGTGGTGGACCAAGGTCCTGCTCTCATCAAGCTGAGCCATTGCTGCCACCACACTATCTCCTTCAAGCCTGACAATGTCAGCTCTAGGTGTCTGTGTGCTTGTACGTACACACATGTGAGTCTCTGTGTGTGTGACGTTTATCAAATTTAGATATGTACCTTCACGTTTATAGTATAGGATTATGTTAATGACCAAAATAAATCACACTGTTTTTATAGAACATTTTATAGAACACAATGTGAACAACAGAAAATTACACTTTTTAACACGTTGCAACTTTCTGTTAATTTAAAGGAAAACAACATATTTTTGACATCTAGGAAAAAAAGGAGAGGAAAAATGCTGGGGTGAGGCTTGTGAGCCCAGCCATATACTGAAAAACATAGCCCCTTCCTCTAAACTGCTTTAAGAATTGAATCGAGCTAAAATCTTGCTTACACATATGATTAAACTGAATATCCTCCTGGTTTGTGTGTGGAGAGAGATAGGTTAGGTAAAGGCTCACTGTACATGCTCAGAGGCATTTCTCTTGCCCTATTCCAAGGAAATAATTTCTTGAGCAACTCGGTGATGTCTTCTTAAAATTAAGTGGAATGGAGGAGAATAGGCTAACCAATAACAATTTTTGAAACACTTCTGGTTCCAGTTCTCATCCTGTGCACATCCATCTTCTTAAAACTTCAGATTATAACTCTGAGTTCCTTGAAAAAAATGCCTCATAGGTGATACATTGCCCAGCACTGATAACAGTCTGAACGCACTACTTTTTTCTAGTATTACACATAGCAAGTCTTCAATGAAGTGTTGTCTGAACGCACTACTTTTTTAGTATTACACATAGCAAGTCTTCAATGAAAGTATGGACTGACAACATTGCCTGAAAATGGCATAATGAAGTATGCTGGTTTCCCCTCCTTGGAAGCAGAATACTTCGATTAAAAAGATGATTAAAAGAATAAGAATAGTGCCTGAAAAAGGCATAATGAAGTATGCTGGTTTTCCCCTTCTTGGAAGCAGAATACTTCCATTACATACATTAAAAAGATGATTAAAAGAATAAGAATAACAATAACAAAAGAGAAGCCTAGTTTCCCAAAGCACCCTGTGGACTTACACTCAAAGGATCCTGGCTTATATTATTGATATTCAAAGACAGAATATGATCTTTGCTGCCGACATAGATCCGGTCTTGATCTTCATCCATCACCAATATCCTGTAGTCTAGAGGGTGATGGGAAAGAGCATAAAACTGAGAGGTCCTGGTCTCCTGCAGTTCTGTAAATGAAAGATAAACCACGGCTTAATTTGCTTTCCTTGATTGTACAATCATAATGTGATAAAAGAGTTATGACACCAATAAAACCACAAAGGTTTTGTACGATGGCTAGCAACATAAGCACGAATAAAGTCATTTTTTCCTGTCAAAAACTGAGTGCCTTGCTCTTACAGTAACCAGCCATAGTCATAAAGCATCTGGAATAACTTTACCCATTCACCCAAAGAGCCCTGTTCTTTTAATGGGAATTATTATTTACGGCTGTGCCTTTTAAAACACATCATATACAAAACAGAACAATGAGAACATCCTGAGCCAGGATCAATTAAAAGTATGCCATAGAAGCACATTTAATCCAATACTGCTATGATGTGAATCAGTTAGAATGCATTGAGACTGGGCAAATAAATTCTCTTGAACAATTATTATGTTTCCAAAATGATTTTTAAAGCTCTTAAATAGATAAATGTTTGGTTGTTAAATTATGTGACACTATTGTATGGGAGTAGAATGATATGATCAGATATTCCTCTCTCTGCCCCCCCCACCAGTTACTCATTTCCAGTTACTTCTGAGTGATATTGTAATTTTCTAAATTTGCTGAGGACTGGACTCTTGCTGTTCAGTGTTGTGAATACACCTAGATCACAAAACTCCTACTACTGACAATGAGGATAGTAATTCAAAGTACAAACGCAAATGTCCTCTCCCTGTGTGTGTTGGGAATGCAATTCTGAGGAATACAAGAAGTAATCATAGCCATTATACCATTGTGAAACTTATAAACATCAAGCTCTGTTTTTAGTGCTTTGCTGTTCTGATCTATCTTACCAGGGGAGAGACAATGAAATTGGATATTTTCTGCAGACTATTGTGTGGAAGGCAGAGATAACGGCTGAGATTATTGTTGATTGGAAAGCTCAATGGAGATGATGAAGAAGGAGCTGTGTTGGAGCCCTGCCTGCCTGAAATGGTGAGAGCATATCGGACATGGGGGCCATCTTGGATGGTGGTATCCTAGCTGGCTGAGGTTGAGTGGAAGTGGAAGATGAGGACAGCTAAAGTTATGCCTGAGGCAACACCTGGATCTGTGAGACTTTACCTGGTGTGGTTTCCCTGGATCTGCTCAGCTTTGTTAACTGGTGAACACTGATTCCTTGAAGATTGGCATGAACAACATCAGCCACCATTTCCCTCCCTGCGTCCCAGAGTGGCTCAGCATTTGGATTTGCCTTTTTAGTGCAATTATGGCATTTTAATGCAATGGAATATCAGTGGTGACAGGGAGGGGGGGATTTGGTGCTGGAGGGAGTGATGGCTGCTTCAGAAGATCCCAAATTTGGCACTTGGTTCCAATCCCCAGCTCTAACTCGATTCTGGCACTTGGTTCCAATCCCCAGCTCTAACGTTTCCTTCTCTGGCCAGATGCAAGGTTTTTCCTTCCTCCCTACAATGGAGTGGGATGCCTGTTACTCCAGCGAGGATGCTTCAAATATACGGGTAATTACGGGCAGGGAGAGATATGGTGTTGGCACAGTAGCAATCAAACGTAGAAGTAAAGCGGACAGAAGTTTGAAGGCTGTCCCCTCTTCTAGCTCTGCTGCCATCTGTTCGAACCTAGGTAACCAGTTTAGCCAACCTCCCTCTCTGACCCTGGTGTTGATAAATGCCAGGTCTGCCCACAACAAAACCCAACTCATCCAGGACTTGATCCTGGAGGAATGGGCAGACCTGGCCTGTATAAATGAGACATGGGTGGGTGCTGAGGGTGGAGCTACTCTTTCCCTCATATGCCCACCTGAGTATGCCATCTAACACCAGGGCAGACCAGGTGGGTGGGCGGGAGTCACCATTGTTTATAAAGATATCTTTGAGACTGCTAGGCTCTCTGTGGTAAGCCCAGGTCTAGAGGCTATCCACATGTCTTTTGGGGCCAGGGGTGGCTTTGGGATTGTGCTGGCTTGCCGCGCTCCCCGCAATCCAGCACAGTCCCTGCCGGAGCTGGCAGATTTCATCTCCGTGGTGTTGTTGAGGTCTCCCAGACTATTGGTTCTTGAGGACTTCAACATTCATGCGGAGGCTGAGGTTTCAGGCCCACAGATCATGAGTTCCTGGAAACCAGGGCTTCCTTGGACTTGACCCAGCAAGTCAATGGTTCTACCCGTGTGGGTGGCCATATGTTGGATCTGGTCTTTTGCTGCTGAGCAGAGAGAGTGTGCTCCAATGGTGGCCAACTTGGTATCAACTCACTTGTCATGGTTGGATCACCACCTAATTAAATGCAGCCTCTCAGTGGCACTTTCCTCCCATGGGGAGCTTGGACTCATTAAGATGGTCCACCCCACCCAGCAGGTTACTGGATCTTGACGGATTCCAAGATACTATGCGGGGGATTCTGGCTGACTTGGTTTACGCTCCTGTCAATTCCCTGGTGGATGGCTGGTATTCTGCCGCCAGCAGGGTGGTCGACATGATCGCACCTAAACACCCTCTCTGTTGCTGAGCCCAACCAATTCCCTGGTTTAATCAGCAGCTGCGGGCTATGAAGCGTAATCGGATAAGGCTAGAGAGCATCTGGAGAAGGGCCCTGATGGAAACTAATTTAAAAACTGCCAGGATCGTGTCTAATCTTTACTTAGCTGGAGGAAAGTTTGCTGGAAGAGCATTCTTTGCTGACTGGATAAGGGAAGCTCATAACCAGGGGGCGGAACTTTTCCATATAGTATGCAATCTATCCAGAGCTGGCCACAGTGATAGGCCTCCCTCTAGTATCTCCTGTGACCAATTTGCGGCACTTTTTAAATCTAAAGTGAAAGTCATCCGCAGTGACCTTGATCCCTTTTTACACAGTAGAACAAGCTCAGATGTCCAGTGCATCGTCTTGCCCAGTGAGATTAACTTGTTTTCAACCTGTGATGTCCAATGATGTGGACAGGCTGCTTGTGCGCTGTTGTGGCACCTCCTCCTCCTTAGACCCTTGCCTGGCCTGGCTCATCAAAGCAGAAGGGCCGGTAACAACAGAACAGGCCACCACAATAATTAATGGGTCTCTCCAGGAGGGCATGGTTCCCCTTGCCCTCAAGGAGACACTCATTAGGCCCATTTGAAAGAAACCTAATTTGGTGGTGGACAAAATTGGGAATTATAGGCCCATCACCAATGTTTCTTTCATGAGTAAAGTGGTCAAGAGGGTGGCAGCTGATCAGCTCCAGGCCCTTCTGGAGGAAACTGACGCCTTTTATCTGTTCAAGTCGGGCTTCAGGCCGTGGCATTGTACAGAAACAGCACGGGTCGCCCTGCAGGATGACCTCCTGAGGGAGGCTGATGGGGGCAATATGTCTTTGTTGGTCTTCCTCGATATCTCAGCAGCCTTTGATACCATTGACCACGGTATCCTCCTGGGGCGGCTCTCTGAGCTGGGGATCGGTGGTCTCACTTTGGCATGGCTCCATTCCTTCTTGGAGGATTGTACCCAGAGAGTGAAGCTTGGTGAGATGACTTCCTCTTGCTTTGGCGTGACTCCGTTGCTTCTTGGAGGACTGTACCCAGAAAGTGCAGCTTGATGAGATGACTTCCACCCTCAATTGTGGGGTTCCGCAGGGGTCGATCATCTCGCCAATGCTATTTAATATCTATATGAGGCTGCTGGGTGAGGTCATCCGGAGTTGTGGAGCTCAGGGCCATCAGTACGCTGATGACACCCAGCTCCACCTCTCCTTTTTTCCAACTGCAGTGGATGCTGTTCTGACCCTTGAATGCTGCATAGGGACTGTTCTGGGGTGGATGAGGGCAAATGGACTGAGGTTGAATCCGGACAAGACGGAAATCTTGCACATGGGTGGCCCCGGCATCAATGGGTTGGGAAACTCTCCTTTGGGGGAGTGACTTTCCCCACAAAGAGCAAGGTTCATGCCCTTGTAATCTCAAGAATAGACTACTGCAGTGCTCTTTGCATGGGGCTACCCTTGAGGCTGATGTGGAGACTTCAACTGGTCCAGAATTCAGTGGCCAGATTAATAACTAGGGAGAAGAAAGTTCAGCACATCTCCCCTGCTCTGGCCACCCTTCATTGGCTACCGGTTCATTTCCGCATTGACTTCAAGGTTATGATGATAACATTTAAAGCCCTAAAGAGTTTAGGACCTAGGTACCTGTCAGAAAGCCTGCTCCCAGCCAGATCTGTCCGTAATACCCGTTCCTCACAGGCAGAGCGGTTGAGGGCCTTGACCCTGAAGGAGGCCCGGAGGGAAAGAACTAGAAACCAGGCCTTCTTGGTAGTTGACCCCCACCTATGGAATAACCTGCTGACTGAGATTCGTCTGGCACCCTCGCTTACTGCCATCGGTTTTAATTTCTGATTTGCTATGTATTAACTTATTTTTATAATTTTTTAAATTTTTCCCTCCCTATATTATTGTTAGCCGCCCAGAGTAGCCCGGCTACCACATGGTGCGGGATATAAATTCAAATAATAAGCAAACAAACAAACAAACAAACAAACAAACAAACAAATAAATAAGAAAGAAAGAAAGAAAGAAAGAAAGAGAAAGAAAGAAAGATTTCACACAAGACCAAAAGAGATGGTTTTACATAGCTGCTGAGATCTGCTGTAAGTGCAACAGTGCTACCTCTTCCTTGTGCACAAACTGATTTCAACACAGTACTTTTGTCCTTGATTTTTATGAATTCCAAGATGAACTGATGTGATCTAAACCTCTTAGATTAATTTGTAAGCCAGTACCCAAAATCCTGTTGCTTAGTGTAGTTCATTGCACCAAAGCAGACCCATTGTATCAGAAGGGATTTAATGAACCAACTCCTCTTTAAGTTCCACAGATTCAAATAAGCCTACTCTCTGACTTACTATCCTAATACTATATGTACTTTAAGGTGAAATATTTTTAAAAATACATATTTAAATACAATTTTACTCAATTCAGACAGGCACATTTTCCAAAAATGCAGGTTTATGCAAGATAAAATTGAAGCAATTTAAGAG